TTCGTGGTTAAAGATAAAGATATAGAGGGAAATGTGGTGGTGGGGTAGGGAAGGGAGGTGGAAGGAGGGGGGACAAAAATAAAAAATGTTATGTGAATGAACATGTAAAGAATATAAATAGATAATATAAAGATACTATACCTCAATGTAAGCCTACAATAGACATCTATTATCTGTTCAAATATTGTGTTAGTTTCTATTCAATAAAAATATATTTTTAAAAAAGATATCTCCAGAGTCAGAGCACTGCCTCCAGAAAACCGGAAATGAAAGGAGAAGCCTCTGCCTTGGTTTGTGTTTGTCTGTCTCATTGTACATGATTGTAAAGGCATTGAATGTTTGCCTATGTATGTAAATGCTGTAATCCACTCTGAGTCCACCAGGGAAGAATATAAATAAAGTGCATTTTAATTTTAATAATTGATGTAATTGTTTTATGAGTTTTAATTCTCTATTTGTAACATAGATGTTTTTACCAATTGTATGTTTTTAAGGCATTGAATTGTTGCCGATAAGTGAAGCTGCTCTGAGTCCCCCGCAGGGTTGAGAAGGGTGAGGTACAAATATGGCGAATAATTTTTTTTATTATTATTATTTTCTAAATGTTTTATGTATGTAGGACAACTGTGGAATTACATGAAATACTAACTTTATTACAAAATTCTCTTGTACTGAAAACTTATTTATAAAGTTCTGTGAATTCTGGCTGATCCCTCTTGGCAACTGTCCATTCATATGTGGATCTATAAGCAATTAAAGTTGTTTAAGAGTGTGTTTTCTCTCTAGAAACAAGGTGAAAAACAAAGCATGCTAATGAATGGATTTCAATGAGAAATTTTCCACTTCTAGATGTACTTCAATAATAAAATTGGATGTACTGGCAGCCAAGGCAAAGCAAATTAATAAAACAGCTGCTCCTGGGACTCTAATTGTCCGCCGTGCGCCTTCCCATTTGTGTCCAAGACAGCTTCTTTTCAAACCTAATAGCTTCTGTCTACTCAGAGCCCTTGGCTAAAAGCTATCCTGTTAGTCTTGCTCCAAATACAACTCTATAGTGTGTTGCTGCTACAAAAAGTAGTTTTAAAATGTAGTCAGTTATTAGTACTCTGTATAAACCTGCCAAAACAATTAAAAACCACACTGTGTATATACGTTACTAAAAAGAAGACCTGCAGACTTTCAAATGTTTAAATTATATGAGACTCCTTCCCATTTTTTTTTAAAAAAAGCATACAATTGCTTTGTAAAAGTATCATTTAATTGCATGTAAAGGAAATGATTCCTAATGAGTCTGCAATGGTTCAATAAACCTTTCATTGCCCTAAGTTGTAATTTAAATTCATGCCTCTTTTGTTGTGCCAGTCACAAGATTACACACAGTATATCTTTGGACTACCAATTATAACAAGCCACTTAGCTGAGAGATGTTTTAAGTTTTGTTCTCTTGCCTGCCTAGCAGGTTAATAGACCGAGATGTCAAGATGATTGACCAGCAAGCTAAGAATCAAGATTTATGGCTTTATAATTTGGAAGGTTAAATCAATGGTAACAGGGACACTGATTTTTTAGCAGCACTGACAAAAGGTGTGGCAATACATGCATAAGACTATACAAATCAAATGAAAGATGCTAGCAAAAAAAATCTCAGACAATAACATAGTTCTACATACATAGATACAATACTCTGATAGAAGACTGATGCCTAAGTTATTCAATGCTCTCAATCCAACTATACTAGCTGTCAATTAAAACTATTCTGTAGAAAGATCATTTTAAAGCAATTATATTATTTAAACTGGTTCTCACAATAAGGTTTTTTTTCCTATTAACGGTGAGGCAGGTAATGTATTTTAAGATAATAACAGAAGACTGGCTTCCTTAGCACACAAAATTTGGAATTGTCCCATAGTAGTTACATTATGGAATAAAGGGAGGAAACACACAAGGTAAAATTGATTTTGGAAAGATCCTTACATAGTCTTTTGAGTTATTTACCCGTTTCATGGAAATTAACAAATGGCTAATATAAGTTAAACATAAAAATCCAAGATTATGGCAACCCGAGTGATTGATAACTGGCAAATAGAGGGAGAAAACATGGAGGCAGTAATAGACTTTTTATTCTAGGTGCGAAGATTACTGCAGATGCAGACTGCAACCAGAAAATCAGCTGGATTATGGAGAAAGGCAGGTGGTTTCAGAAAAAACAATAAAATACTGAAGAGTAGAGACATCACACTGGCAACAAAGATCCGCATAGTTAAAGCAATGGTATTCCTCGTAGTAACCTATGGATGTGAGAGCTGAACCATAGGGAAGGATGAGCAAAGAAAGATAGATGCTTTTGAACTGTGATGCTGGAGGAAAATTCTGAGAGTGCCTTGGACCGCAAGAAGATCCAACCAGTCCATACTCCAGAAAATAATGCCCAACTGCTCACTGAATGGAACGATATTAGAGGCAAAGATGAAGTACTTTGACCACATAATGAGAAGACAGGAAAGCTTAAAGACAACGATGCTGGGGGAAATGGAAGGAAAAAGTAAGAGGGGCAGACCAAGGGCAAGATGGATGGTATCCTTGAAGTGACTGGCTTGACTTTGAAGGAGCTGCGGGTGGCGACGGCCGACAGGGAGCTCTGGCGTGGGCTGGTCCATGAGGTCACGAAGCGTTAGAAGCAACTGAACGAATAAACAACAATGGAGGTTGACTTTTTACACCCTTTAGACTGATAAAAGATTGATACTTCATTCCTGGAATGATAATTTTTCTCTACTGGTGATCCAATGGAGAGAAGATATAACAATACTTAAAACATTTTAAATAATGATATATATTAAAAAAAATAACAATAGATTTATATTTAGACATTTGGCCACTCTTTCAAAAACAAATATGGTTATTTCCACCATCCTTTTGTATTTTTATTTTTCTGCTTTTATTATACTGGAACATGTTTCTATGAAACTGAGAACCATTCTGAACATGAATAAAAATATTCAAGTTTAAGGAAAAAAAGAATGAGATAATAAGAGAACAAGCCTGCCAGTGAGTGAATAGCCAATTCAAAGGCGGAGGAAATACCTCATCAAATGTTAGCTTGGCTGCATACTGGTGGAGTGGAATAGTAGATAGTATCACTCTTTTTTCCATTTTATCATTTCCATTCCATCGAGTTTATGTATGTCTGCTTTAGGGCTTCATCACACTTGATCCTTTATCCACTTTACAAACACCAGAAATCTGCAGGAGGCAGTCACTGCAGAATTCTGGGGTTTGTAGTTTATGGAGAGGCCTTTAAACTGCTCATCCAGAGAAGCCCTGGGCCTCCCTAAACTACAAACCCCAGAATTCTGCAGGAAGCAGCCACAGAATTTAAAGTGGATTAAAGTGGATAAATGCTCAAGTGTGGTGAGGCCCCTAGTCTGCATGTAAATTTTCATCAGTTCTTAAGGCTTGTAGAGGAGTAGGGAAGCTATGGATTCAAAGCTTTCCCCAATTGCTCCAACTATCAGTCTTTTTAGTCTCTAGTTACAGTAGAGTTCTAACACTGTAAGGCAAAGGCTGTAGATGTTTCTGTGTCCTTCAATGAGGGTTTAATGATCTCTCTTATTGGAGCATCAGATCTTTTTTTCTGACCTTCTCAGACAAAGCTCTGCAATTCTCTACAAACCCTGAAAGCACATGATAAGGACACTATAATAGTTGAAGGTACTTCTTACCTTCGTTCAGTCATTAATGAGAATGGAGACTGCAATCAAGAAATCAGAAAAAGTCTAGAATTTGGGAAGAGCTTAAAAAGATCTTGAAGTGTAAAAATATATAATTTGAACTTGAAATTGGGAACATTCATGTCATTGGGTTGTTGTAGGTTTTTTCAGGCTATATGGCCATGTTCTAGAGGCATTCTCTCCTGATGTTTCGCCTGCATCTATGGCAAGCATCCTCAGTGGTAGTGAGGTCTGTGGGAACTGTTGGAATTCATGTCATTGTGTTTCCAATTTTTAAGTATAGTTGCCATAGCTGGACAGTGAAGAAAACTAACAAAAGAAAATCATCTAAATGTGTTGGAGAAGAGTGTTATGGCTACTGTGGGATGCTAAAGAGAGAAATCAATGGGCAAATTGAGTCTGACCTCTCCCTAGAAGACAAGACAACCAAACTGGCACTGTCAAGGAAGCCATGGCCCTGAGTTTGTAAGACCTCAACATGGCTGATGATGATAGGATGACATGGACGTACCTCAATCATAGACTCATCATTACGTTGAAGTTGATTTAATGGCAGTTAACAATAATTAGACATAAAACTATAATCATACTGCATAAGGCTACAATTCTATGCAAACTTACTTGGGAGTAATTCGCAGTGAACTAAATATTTTATTTCTCTGTAGACATGCACAGAATTAGCAACAGTGTATTATGTAAATGACTTTATTATGGCATATGCTTCATGGATACTATCTGATTCATCAGATGTGGAAGACTGCTATGCAAGAGTGTAAAGAAATGCAACCGTGACCTACTACTATCACACAAATAAAGGCCCAATGTAAGACAGAAATCTTACAGTTCATGGCTTAATAAGCATGCTCACTGTGATGCTTTATTTGAAATCAGTGGAGCCCCCGGTGGCGCAGTGGGTTAAACCCCTGTGCTGGCAAGACTGAAGACCGACAGGTCGCAGGTTCGAATCCGGGGAGAGGCGGATGAGCTCCCTCTATCAGCTCCAGCTCTTCATGCGGGGACATGAGAGAAGCCTCCCACAAGGATGATAAAAAACATCAAATCATCCAGGCGTCCCCTGGGCAACGTCCTTGCAGACGGCCAATTCTCTCACACCAGAAGCGACTTGCTCCTGACACGACAAAAAAAAAAAGTGGGGCCTTGCTTAAGGCATAAGAAGTAAGATAAAATACAAGTGCTTTAAAATGACAAAATCCGGCCACTCAGCTGCTCACTGTGAAATTGTCAAGCAAAGAAAACCAAACTTTGGAGGCAAGTGGTTAAAAAAGTTTTTATTGTTTTATCAATTGACTATTACAAATTTTCAATGCACAGTGTATTGATCTACATAGTAGAACTAAATAGTAAACCAAATCTAGTTTCAACATGTCTAATCAAACAACTGAAATATTTTGCCTGCAATACAGAAATCCACAATGCTTAACTGTATAACTTCCAAGACTATTTATTTCCTCAACATTCAGAATCCAGAAGAACAGGTTCAGCTTCTATCTGCCCGATTCACTCATTATTGGAACAGGAAGGCCCTCTTCTGGATTATATTTATATGTTCAAGGAGCAATCCAATAAAGCAAAGGGATGTCAGATCTAAACTTTGGCTTTCCTTATTGCCCATTCAAATTCCTACCTAATTGCCTTTCTGATTATATATTTCAAATATAATATGGGGGACTGGGACTATAGTTAGTTCTTAGTATCTCCAACTAAAAGAAACATTTGAACATAATTACAAAATAGATCAGAAAATGTGTTAGAAATGTCCTTTGCTTAGACCAACAAATATTATCTGCAGTACAGTCCCCACTCAGGAATTGCAAAGAACAAAGTCCTTCAAAAACTAAAATTTCTGCAGGAGTGATTGAGATAATGACTTCTTTGCTTTCTGATGGTTCAAAGTAAATAAACTTTGTTTCATGGATGAAATCATTTAAATTTAATTAAATTACCTATATACAGATAAAACAGAACTTTTGTGTATAGACTTGGGTCCCATCTTCAGCAAATCTCATTATGCACATACATGCAAGTAGAGATGTTTTGAAATCAGCAAAAATACAAAAATATTACAAATTGCAATCCAAATGGAGTGCATATGTACTTATTGATGGTAATAAGTTGAATAAGTAAAAGTACAGATGTACAAGCTGGCTTGAGAAAAGGCAGAGGAATGACAGACCAAATTGCCTATATCAGCTGGATTATGGAGAAAGGCAGGTGGTTTCAGAAAAAACATCTATTTCTTTTTTTATTGACTGAAAGTCTTTGACTGTGTGGATCATAATAAATTGTAGCAAGTTCTTGGTGGTATGGGGATACCAAGACACTTTGTCTGTCTCCTGAGGACATCACACTGACAACAAAGATCCGCATTGTTCAAGCAATGGTATTCCCCATAGCAACCTATGGATGCAAGAGCTGGACCATAAGGAAGGCTGAGCGAAGGAAGATAGGTGCTTTTGAACTGTGTTGCTGGAGGAAAATTCTGAGACTGCCTCCTGAGAAATCTGTATAATGATCACAGAACAACAGACTGGTTCAAGACTGGGAAAGGAGACTGTCTGGGCTGTATACTCTCTCCTGACCTATTCAACTTGTATGCAAAACACATCATGTGATGTGTGGGGCTTGATGAATCCAAGGCTGGAGTTAAAATTGCTGGAAGAAACATTAACAACCTTATATATGCAGATGATACCTCTTTGATGGCCAAAAGCAAGGAGAAGCTGAGGAGCCTTATAACCAAGGTGAAAGAAGAAAGTGGCAAAGCTGGATTGCAGTTAAACATCAAGAAAACCAAGTTTATGGCAACCAGACTGATTGATAACTCGCAAATAGAGGGAGAAAAAGTGGAGGCAGTGATAGACTTTGTGTTTCTAAGTGCAAAGATTACTGCAGATGCAGGCTGTAGCCAGCAAATCGGAAGCTGTTTACTTCTTGGGAGCAGAGCAATGGCCAATCTCAATAAAATAGTCAAGAGTAGAGACATCACACTGGCAACAAAGATCCACATAGTTAAAGCAATGGTATTCCCCATAGCATCCTATGGATGCGAGAGCTGGACCATAAGGAAGGCTGAGCGAAGGAAGATAGGCATTTTTGAACTGTGGTGCTGGAGGAAAATTCTGAGAGTGCCTTGGACCGCAAGAAGATCAAACCAGTCCATACTCCAGGAAATAATGCCTGATTGCTCAGTGGAGGGAAGAATATTAGAGGCAAACATATGGCCACATAAGAAGAAGACAGGAAAGTTTGGAGAAGATAACGATGCTGGGGAAAATGGAGGGGGAAAGGAAGAAGGGCCGACCAAGGGCAAGCTGAATGGATGTTATCCTTAAAGTGACTGCCTTGATCATGAAAGTGCTGGGGATGGTGACAGCCAACAGGGAGCTTTGGCATGTGCTGGTTGATGAGGTCATGAAGAATTGGAAGTGACTGAAAGAATAAACAACAACATCAAACATATACACTCCATTGGAGTGCAATTTGTAATCCAATAGAGCCAGTATTAGTCCTACACAGCATTGATTGGAATTTGTTGGTAAGAGCAAATTTAAAACCCATTAATTTGTATGGGTTTAGTATAGGTAGGACTAATATTGGTGCTAGCCTATAATTTTCAATAATCATTCAACATATATTATTGAATGAATATTGAAAAGTATAGATTATCACCAATATTAGTCCTATCTGCCTTACAAAACTATCTTTAAGAAGTGTTTTTGAAAATTTGAGAACCTTGTATTGACTTTTTGCAAGAACAGAAAGATAAAATGACAATTGTGGGTTTTGAAAATTAGTAGTATTGAATAAAATGCTGCAGTACATAGTAGAAGAAGTAGAGCCTAACATCATATATAATTATTAGTAAGAAAGTTGGCAACCAATACTTTATTTTTGTAAATGTAATCTGTATTGTTTCTTATTCTTCACTATCCATATATTTTTCTGCCTTGTATTTCTGTATCAGTTTAAATTCTATTTCAATTAACTGAAATCTTTTTAAAAGTAGCCATTCAAGAAATACTCAAGATTCCAATTTTCTAGATAGTTTTCTATAACAAGTATGAAAAAGAAGCACTCATTTCCTTAATGCAATAGTTCAGTTAATTCACTGAAACCAAACTTACCTTGTAAAGAATATGGCAAAAATTGGTCACCCATGGTCACAAGCCAATTGGTTAATTTAGACTCAGACAAACTAAGTTCATTTTTTAGCCATTAAACAAGAATAAACACAAGATTTCTGCTAGTTTTGATGGACTCCAGAGGTAAGGGGCAGGGAAGTTAAAAATATGAATTGTGACATTATAAAAATCCCCAGAGAGCGAGTACAAGAAGAGACAATCCTGAGCTAGATGGACTGAAGGGTTTGCATGACAGAAGGCAGCTTCAACTTGCTGAGAAGTCAGGTTCTTAAAACAGTTATCAGTATGGCAGACTCTGCTGATAATGACCCTTTGTTTTTAATACCACAGGTGAAACTGCTGTGGTGGGAGAGACACAGAGGACTTGGAGCATTGTGAATTTCAACATGCTTTTGACACAATGGCTGATTAAGCTCTTCAAATATACACAGAATTCTTGAATAAAGCTGTTTGTCTATGGCATTAGTAGTAGCAAGCCAGGTGAAGTTGCACCAGCCAAGCTAAGGACTGCCAAAATAAAGGTTTCTTCCTCTGGTGAGCTTCAAAATCAACATGGCCAAAATAGCTCAGTCTGAGTATTGCTGGAAGGACACCATCTCCTTTCCTCAGCTCTCACCTCAAATGAAATGTACATTTCAAAAACCACATCTACCACTTGGCATTATGACAAACACACAAAGTACAGATTATGATATCATGCAGAGGAAACATATGCCTTGCTCCACCTCCTCGTGACCTCCAAGAGTAGGTCTGCACTGCCTGGGGGTTTCAGTAATTCCTTATTTGTCCAGCTTCGGTTTACTATCCATCACTTGCTGCATTCTTTTTTTCGAACTTTTGATTTGGGTGCTGCCATAAGGAAAGAAAGGAAAGCCGTTAAGATTTAATGATGCAAAAGCCAATATTCATTAGGATAATAATAAAACTTACCATTCGGATTTTCCTGCCTGTAGAAGGTTTTCAACATTTCCACAGCTTCCTCAGACCGATAACCAGCTATGCACTGTAGAGATTAGAGAATTTTGTTCATAAAGGCACCCAAATAGTTTTACGAAGGTCCAATACTATTAATAAAGTAATTGGTAAGTTCAAATCAAAGAGATTTGAACAAACAGAGACAGTGGATCTCCTTCACAGCTCTGAAGAAGCTGCATTCGCAATTCAAGTGACACAAATATGTCCGTCACTCAGGCTTCTGCAAAAGACAGCAATCTTAGAAATTGACCTTTACCAACAACAGCTTTTAAATCTAAGGTACTTGTGTATGTTTTCGACAATTGCTGAAGTATCTTTCTGAATGATTCTGTTGGTCCTAACTGGTATAACATCTTGCAAAATAGAGCTATCTACAGATGTTGTCCATACAACTAGAAATACTATACATACAGTATAAGAAACGATGCAGCAAAATGGAAGGACAGTTTTCATCATCAAACCTACTTTGTCAGATTTCCAGAGAAATATGTACAGCCGTTTTTAGGAAACTAGGTTACTTGACTTGAAGCAAGCATGTTTCCCTTCTTCCTCCCTGCACACAACATACTTTACCTTAACAGTTAAACCACAGTGAAAGCCTAGAAAGAAGGATTTTAAGAAACCCTTACAAATTATCAAGTTATCAGTGGTATCCTAAAAACTAAAGTTTATCAAATTGAGGCATCTGACTAGGAGGACTGGTTGTTTCTGGCACACAATGTATTCTTCCTACCAACCACAATTTGTTGTGCTGTGATTGTAACATTTCCACCAGCCTTTGCATTTCTGCCAAAGAGCTTATCTTCAGAAATGCGTTTTCCCCATAGCTGCTCAGACTTCCTTAACCCATCAAAATAACTGAGCTATGCTACAAGTTATTCCACCCACACATCGTTCCCTTCAAACATTTATTCTTTGAAATGTGTGAATGAGTGTGGCAGCACACTCTCTTTCATATACACACAGAACACAGGATGCTTTCAGCATATGCACCAGTTTAAAAAGCATCCACCTACATATAGAAATGCTTTCTACACAGCCATCAACTGCAATTGCTTGAGAATGGAAATTAGAATACTTTAATACAAATGTTTCCTCTCCCAAAGCTGCCACCATGTAAAAGTCAAGTGTCACCACAGTGCTAAACGTAGAGGTACATTTTTGAAAACCCGTTATTTCTCTTTCTTCTTCCTCTTCTTCTTCTGCCCCCTCCTTTTTAAACATTTGTTTCTATCTCCATTGTTCTTTCCAACCACTTTTCATTTTCTTCATCTAGATACCATATTATTCATTAAATGTGTTTTGATCTTACTCTTCCTTTTGAGGTTACATGACATTTTTTTGTTGCCGTCCATCCATGCATGAATCAGATTTCCTTCAAAGTGCCCTAAGCTGAATAGTCAGGTGTTTGCAGAACTCATTTGTGGAGCTTGTTTCCAAAAGGTACCAAATCCGTCTGAACAGATGTTACAGAAATGGGGGGGGGGGGGGGGGTTCTGAGGATATACTATAAATTCTTTTACTATAAAATGCCATTTTCCAATAGCTGTGCCAGAGTGACTGATACATTCTGACAGCTTTGATATGTACATAATATTCTACTCCTAGCCAACAGTGTGCTGACACCTATAACTCATTTTTCTTTTCTTTTCTTTTCTTTTCTTTCTTTCTTTCTTTCTTTTTTTTTTTTTGGGGGGGGGGATTTAGTACCATTTGGAAACAAATTCCACATTTTGATTCCTCCCAATTTCATTTTTACACCTTAAATCAGGAGTGGGAATTATATGACCTTCCAGTTGTCAGTGGGCTGACGGCCCCATAAGCTATTATTGTTAGTAGTAAGGAGTGCTGGGAACTGCAGTTCAACAACCTCTCAATGCCCCCATAGTCCCCACCCCTGCTTTAATTTTTTTTAAAAAAAAATGCCATGCTGCATTATAATAATGCATTCCATTGCAAAAGCTTGGAGAATATTAGGGAAGAACATTCAAGCAGTAGTTTATATTTAGAAAAAGACACAGCTACTCTAAATTCTAGACATATTTGTGAATGTGGTATTTCTTTCTTACTCTCAAGTCTAATTCAGACTTAAACGATCACTAGAGAAAAGCTCACACAAAACTATAAAGGATGTTCAACGGTGGTTTCAGAATTAAAATACTGGGAAGAAGGGGTTTTTTAAAAAACAAATCCAAATGTACATGATTTACTTGAAAGATTGAAATATGAAAGAACACAAGCAAATTATTTCACCTGAAATGGTTCCCCTGTGCCTGTTAAGGTATCAGAAGAGATGTTCAAAACCGAACCACAGCCTCCAAATCGTTCATTTTGGCAGCCATAGACGACCAGTGGGATTTATATAAATTAATTAAGGTATTAAGACAAAAAAATGAAAGCCTATAGAAAAGCATCCTGTTTTAATTGATTTTATAGCTTTGCCGACATTTCTGCACTTTCAAACTCATGTCTTCATATTTTTTATCACATACTACAAACATCTGTTTTCCATGGACACTTTTATTAACAAACTCCTAATGCCTCCAGACAAACCAATTTTCACCACTTCTGCTCCTTTAACTCTACCCAAGGCACTCTTCTGCCAGCCTGTGAAGGGAAACTAACACTATTCTATAATTCCTCTAACCCAGAATCAGGGATAGAGTAACACATTTTGGCATCTGAAGGAAAAAATCGAAGGAGGAGGAAGGGGAAAGAGAGGAAGAGGAGGGGGGCGGTGGTGTCATCAGTTGTCTTTTGATGACAGCCACATATACTACCTGAGACAAGTCTCCTTATGTTGCCTAACAGTACAATTTGTGCTGCACTTTATCTGTTGCTTGCTTGCTGTCACCCACATCAAAGTTTTCTAGAAAGAACTTCCTGTTCATTAAGAGACAGTTTGTCTCTATCATCTGTTGCAATGGAATAAGAGCAGAAGTGGACTTTTTAAAAACTTTAACTGGGCTTTCCTAGGGACATCTCATTGACCACTGTGGGAAGAGAACAGTGCCATAAGAAAGCCTTTAACCAGATCTATCAGGGTCCTTCTCAGAATCATCATTTCTAAAGATCTTATGTCATGAGGAAATTAATTTCCATGTGCTTGTTAGCAAGCAAGACAAATGACCTGAAAGTAACAGGCACCTGGATCATTTTGTGAAGGATACTCATCATGCGAAGGGCAGCCGCACACATTATACAAGGCTCTACAGTGACATACAAGACAGTGTGCAAAAATACTTCCTTCATTCTCTTCTTCTGTTGATGACACCAATCTATAGCCTGATCAATTGCTACCATCTCTGCATGACGGGTTGCCTGTGAGAATACGGGAAATAAATTGTAAGACACAGCAACATACACACCCACTCTATTTTTAGAAAAAAGACACAAATACAGAATTTCATATAGCAAATAGCAGACTGGATCAAACGGTCTAGGATCCCCTCCCCCCCAGCTATAAAATGTAACATAAAATGTAACAACAAAAGTGTAATTCTTTTAATAAGTGAGATAAACTAAACAGCACATAGCCTAGCTATTTGTTTGTACAGGCAGCCCCCAAGTTACAAACATCTGACTTGCAAATGACTCATGGATAAGATACAGCAGGAAGTGAGAGAAATCCAGCATGAGGAAGCGAAATCCACTCCTGAAAGAGTTACCATGGAGGAAGGATGTCTCCACTGATGCTTTATCACCAGTCCTTGTTTTCACAATAAGCCAAATTTTTTAAAATCCAATTATCACAGGGACAGAAGGTGAGGTGAAATCTGAACAGTGGCGCAGACAGCAAAACAAACACCACAGGGATGTTAACCCTTCCCTATGCCACTTAAAGTTAAAAAATATAGTTTTTAATACTAAAAAATGTATCTGTTCTGACTTACATACAAATTCAATTTAAAAACAAACCTACAGAACTTATCTTGTGGGGACTGCCTGTAAAGAAAACATTATCATACCACCAAAGCTACATGTCTGAATCAGTACATGGTTGAAAAATATATATCCATTAGGGCAATGCCTGTTAAAACCAACACTAATTACAGTTGCAGATTAAGTCAGATCTTTTATATTTCTGTTGTCAACGCTTCTTTTCTTTTAAAATTTGTGTTTTTAAACTTTACTATGGAGTTTCCAAAATGAAAAGAGCATTGATACCAAAAGTTAACCGCCACCATACAAAACCTGGCCGAAAAAGGCGGGACTAACCCATCCCCATTAAAACAGAAGGACGTGGCATTTTGTTCTTAAAAGGTGCTTCTTTTCCAGAATCTGGCATATAATTGAAAAGCAAAGCAAAAAAGGAATCTGGTTCTCTTTAGCTTTAGTTAACAAGTGTTAAATTAGTAGGCTCTTCCATTATAAACCAAATCTCAAGCACAGCACTGCAATACATAGATTCCTTTTTAAGCAAGGACAGAGAGGTCAGAGAAAAAAAATGGCCATTTGAAGAATGAAGTGCTCAGGCAAAATGATTTTCCTGCTTGTCAGATATCAAGTTCCTATTTTGGATCCAACTTGGTCTATGAATAAACATGAGGGATGAAATGAGACCTACTATTCCTAAGAGCTTGAAGGGTAGCACTGGAGACTCTTTCAAGAGCTTCAGGCAAATCCATGAATTATATCTGCAGTCATTTCCAATTAGGAGCATCTGAAAATGTTTCTAGGCTGAACTGAATGGCAGTATTTTTCCATTAACTCCATCTAATACCTCTAACTCCATCTATTTGTACTATATTAATGTATACCTTCACCCACTGTTAAACTGACATGGTCCCCAGAGCAGTTTTTAGGAAAGTGCGTTTTAAAAAACAAAACAAAAAAACAATAAAATACAATCAACAAGAGGAAAAAGCAGTGCAGGAGAAAGCAATTAGTGAGTTTTAACAGAGTCTAAAAACCAAGAACTAAAAGCACAAGGAATATAAGTGGTATCAAGGGAAAATATACTCTGCACCAAACAAACTTTTTAGGGAGATCATTTCAGAGTTGCCACAATCCCATTTTATAGCCTTATCTCCAGTGGCAGTAAGACACAAAATCTGAGAATGGGTTTTGTAATATGTAAACCCTTTTGTGTTGAGGAAGGCCACCAGAAGGTACTCAGGTCACCAACTGTGTAGGTGCCAAAACAACTTAAACCAGCATTTTGAACTCTGGTTGGAAACAGTGCAATGGTGGTAAGATTAGCCAGATGCAGTCTGCACTTCTTGTTTTGATTATTAGTTTTAAAGCTAATTTCTGAACTTAGTACAATATATAAAGAGTCTCCAAAAGTAGCCCCATGTGGAAACTACTGCACTTGCCCAAATAGGAAATTACCAGGGCATGAATAACCCGACCACCCCCTCTCTGTCCAAGAGACATTATGAGTAGAATACCAGCCTACAAGGAAACATGTTTTGGAGTGAAGAAGTTATCTGTACCCAAATATTTAGAGCTTAGGAAAAATGAGCTCTGCCAGTTTTGCAGTCTACTTACTGTTCTGTGCCTGTTAGGCACAAATCAAAAGCTCTGCAGTACTTGGAACATTACTCAAAATAAGGAATTTGTTCCATTACTTGATACCTGAGCTACTCTGGCTGAACCTTGATTAATTCCACATTATGGGATTTACAGATGTGGGATTAAATAAGGATAGGATCCTCATGCCTAAAGAGCAATCTGAGGAGATGGCAGATCCTCCCAAACTAACCTTCCATTTAAACTTTCCTTCTCCATAATAAATTCCAAGCTGTACAATTGCCACACATTCAAGGAAATTCCCTGGAAGCACTCATGACTAACTTTTTTCCTGAGTTGCTTTATAGGGTTTTATTACAAAAGTGAAATACTATATGTAAACTACAAGTACAGCACAATATTATAGAGCTTTAGAATGTTCTTGCACTATAATTTTAGATTTCCCTAAAGGTATAGCTTAATACAGCATCACATGGGGAAGGACATGATTAACACTTCTGGGAGGATTCTTAGAGTGCTTTGGAACTTCCACAAAGCTTAAGTTATAGTTTTTTAAAAAAGAAACAAAGGAGGACTAAGAGATTTAATTGGAATTAAAAAAGAAGATATATTTTCAAGGAAAATGCTCTACTCATAATAAATAGCATAGACAGTTTCATTCTTGGTGAGATGACAAAAAAGAGGCCATCAATATATTCCTCCTAAAGTACTGTATTACAGGCAATTTTACTTGCAATACTTGCCTCAAGCTCTGGGAACTACCTCATTATTGGGTAAATTGCTCATTACTCTCTCACAGTGCATCATCTTCTGATCCATCCAGTGTATTAGAAATACCAGTTTTTTAAAAGGTTTTTACAACAATGCCCTCCATGAAGCCACATTGTTAAAAGTGGGTAGTCAGCAAATGGATGGGTGACTGAGTGAGTGTGTGAGAGAGTGCATGGGCAAGTGAGAGATTGGGAAGCTTGAAGGGGCATTGTTGGAAGTGGATTGTCAGCAAATGGATGGGCAACTGAGTGAGAGAATGCATGAGTTAGTGAGAGGGAGGGTGGTTCTGTGAGTGGGCGAGTGGATCACAGGGCGGATGGGCAGATGGTCGAGTGAATGAAGCAGGCAAGACTGCAGGCAGGTGGATGGGCGAGCAGATGGAAGCTTATGCTGGTAAATCAAGAGTGCAACTATTGTGTGAGGAAAACGGAAATACCAAAGCCAGGACCCCCAAAATGGCCGAGTGACTATTACGTAATGACAACTATTATGCAATGAAATATAGTATGTAGCAGACATGCTTGAAGGAGAGAACTAGTAGTATTCCACCAATGCATGGACACAATTAGATAAATTATATGCTCAGTGGTATCAACAAATCAGAACTGAACATCATATATAGCAAATAGTTTTAAATGAAGTTAAATTGATTTTCCTTCTACAACATGAATACAGTGCCAAGTGATATTTCACTTGAGAGGTACCTTTCTCAGAACAAATGTTTATTTATTTATTTATTTATTTATTTAACTATATTTATTTATACCCCACTTTATCTCCCCAGAAAGGGATTCGAAGCAGCTTAATATAAAAGCACCACCATAACAATTTTAAAAAATATACTAATATACCAACATTAAAACAAGATTAAATTAACTGTTAAAAACTATGTATTAATAATCTCTTCCTACATTTCCAGAACACAAAATATACAAAAATTCCAAATGTAGCAACATAAGGGTTTATGTCTATCCTCAGTGGTATTTAGTTTATGCAGCAGAGCTAATGACTTTTTTGTAACTTTTTTGTAATTTGTATGAATTGTATGAATTGTATTTTAATGTATTGTATATTGATGATGTATATTGTTTTATTTTATTGTATTGAACCCTATGTTGTTAGCCGGCCTGAGTCCCTCCTCAGAGGTTGAGAAGGTTATAAAAACTCTAAATAAATAAATGAATGAATGACAGTCTTTTGGATCATTCAATATATATATAGTGCAATTATTTACATTACCTTAAATAGCTTACATTTTTAGTTTCATTCACTTCATTCTTTCCCTTCCCTATTACTTCATTATTGTAGACCATGAGGCAACCAACAGGCACTTCACCATTCTTGAGGGCTTCTTTGGCCTATCGAACACACACACAAACACAAGAGAATCAGGAAAAACGCTACATAGAAACAGTGTTTAGTATGTTAAATTTACCATACAGACTGCATGTTTGGAAACAAAGTACATTCAGTTACATTCAGAAGGCTAAAAATCTTGTAAGACTGCATTTCCCATGATTCCATAGCATGAGTCTGAGAAGTTAAGGTGGTGTCAAACTGCATTAAGTGAACATTGTAGATGCCTCCTTAGCTTTCTCCTTCTCACTATAGCACCAGGGCTCCCCTCTGCTCTGCAATCCACCTTCTGGTTAGGAGCAAAGAGGCTCCATTAATATTCCTCATCCCATCATCTCTGTAAACAGGTGCGAAAGAAACAACCTCTTCCACTCACCTGGAACTGGAAGCAGCCTCTTATTTATTTATTTATTTATTTAATACACTTATATACCGCAGTATCTCAGCCTGGAACGGCGACTCTTTTAACTAGGCCCCTTCCACAAAGCTGTACAAAATCCACATTGAATTGAGTTAGATAGCAGTGTGGACTCTGATAACCCAGTTCAAAGCAGATATTGTGGATTGTTTGCCTTGATATTCTGAATTATATGGTTGTGTGGAAGGACCCTATGATTCCCCCCCTTAAATTATATATATATATATATAGGTGCAAAGATTACTGCAGATGCAGATTGTGGCCAGGAAATCAGAAGACGCTTACTTCTTGGGAGGAGAGCAATGTCCAGTCTCGATAAAATAGTAAAGAGTAGAGACATCACACTGGCAACAAAGATCCGCCTAGTCAAAGCCATGGTATTCCCTGTAGTAACCTACGGATGTGAGAACTGGACCTTAGGGAAGGCTGAGCGAAGGAAGATAGATGCTTTTGAACTGTGGTGTTGGAGCAAAGTTCTGAGAGTGCCTTGGACTGCGAGAAGATCCAACCAGTCCATCCTCCAGGAAATAAAGCCCGACTGCTCATTGGAGGGAAGGATACTAGAGACAAAGTTGAAGTACTTTGGCCACATCGTGAGGAGACAGCAAAGCCTGGAGAAGACAATTATGCTGGGGAAAGTGGAAGGCAAAAGGAAGAGGGGCCGACCAAGGGCAAGATGGATGGATGGCATCCTTGAAGTGACTGGACTGACCTTGAAGGAGCTGGGGGTGGTGACGGCCGACAGGGAGCTCTGGCGTGGGCTGGTCCATGAGGTCACAAAGAGTCGGAGACGACTGAATGAATGAACAACAACAACATATATATATATATATATATATATATATATATATACACACACACACACACACACACACACACACACACACTAGCCTTCCCCTGCCACGTATTGCTGTGGCCCAGTCTGGTGATCTGGAAAATAAAGTAATGAGAAAGTGTTGGTTTCTAATACATGTAATTTCTTTATGCTTGTGGGTAAACAGTATTTCTTGCTGTTTCTTTGTCAGTGTTGATGTAGTGATTGTCTGGTTTGCCTACTCTGGAACATGCATCATATAATTGTCCTTCTTTAGGGGTCCTTTTCAAATCTAGGATACTATATCTGTCATATACATATGTGCGTGTGTGAATCATCCCTATATATCTATATCTATGGCTGGATGGCTCTTTGTCTGGAGGGCTTTGGTTACATTTTCTTGCCCTGCTGAAGGGAGTTGGATTGGATGGCCTTAAGTATGGGGGTTCTATGTGGGAAGTTTGCACCAGTTCTGTCGTTGGTGGGGTTCAGCATACTCTTTGATTGTAGGTGAACTATAAATCCCAGTAACTACAACTCCCAAATGTCAAGGTCTATTTCCCCCAAACTCCATCTATTTTCATATTTGGACATATAGAATGTTTGTGTTTGGTCCAGATCCATCATTCTTTGAGTCCACAGTGCTCTCAGGATGTAGGTGAACTACAACTCCCAAACTCAAGGTCCATGCCCACCAAACCCTTCTAGTGTTTTCTGTTGGTCATGGGAGTCCTGTGTGCCAAGACTGGTTCAATTCCATCATTGGTGGAGTTCAGAATGCTCTTTGATTGTAGGTGAACTATAAATCCCAGCAACTACAACTCCCAAATAACAAAATCATAATGTATTGAGTGATGGTCACTCCTTGTGTTGTGAGACGTTTTGTTGCCAAATTTGGTGTGATTTCGTTCATTGGTTCTTTTGTTTTTAAGATATTTATTATGCCCAGAGCGTGTATATATATATATATATACACACACACACACACTCACACACTACACGCACGGAAAAGGAAGGGGCCTGAGGCTATTAGGAATGGTGGGAGTTGGAGTCCAAAACACCTGGAGGGAGGGCCCAAGTTAGCCCATGCCTGGTGTAGACGCCCTGTTAGTTTTCTCCTTCGCCCTCTCTCCTGTTACCTACCATCCCTATAGCTCTGTCCATCCAGACCTCGACTTCTGCCGCAGCCTCCCCCTGCCTTCCCGTGGCTTCCATCTCTGCTCTATCAGAAGGCGCTTCTTCCGCCATTGCTGCCCGGAACGCAGAGTGCGGGGCCAAGCTTCCGGGGGGACGTGTTTTGAGCGCGGACCGAGGCAGCAGCGGGGGACCAGGAAGCGGCGGGACGCGCGTGGCCGGCGCCGGGGGGCGGGGCTTCTTCCCACTGCTGAGTCTCCGCAGAGTCTCCGGGATGCTGCTGTCCGTGTGGGGCTTCCTGCGGCGGCACAAAAAGAAATGCATCTTCCTGGGCGCCTTCCTGGGCGGTGAGTGTGGGGAGGGGGAAAGGCAGGCAGGGACACACAAGCAAAACACTCCCGACAGATGGCCACCCGGCCTCTGCTCCAGAGAAGGAGACTCCACCATATGCCACTCTTCCTGTCAAGAAATTCTTCCTCACGTTTAGATTGAGTCCCTTTTTCTGCCGTTTGAATCTATTGCTTTTAGAAAAACAAGCCTGCCCCCTCCTTAATGTGACATCCTTTCAAATATGTATGTATGTATTTATTTACGACATTGATATGCTGTCCTTCCCACCCCGAAGGGGACTCAGAGTGGTTTACAGGTTATATGTACGTATAATATATTATATTATTGGCATAGCACAATATTAGTGTTATATATTGTACTACACCATTATACTATAATATTAGTAATATTACATGTGATATGAAATATAACATTATTATATTGTATTATTATTACTGTTGTATTGTATTACATTGTAATATTATCAATATTATATGTGTATTCAATATATTGTATTAGCACAGCACAATATCTATATAAATAAAAATGTAATGTTCGTTTGTGGGATTAACAGAACTCAAAAATCACTGGATGAATTGACACCAAATTTGGATACAACACGCCTATCAGGCCAATGAATGACCATGACTCATAAAAACACTGAAAAACACAGTGGAAGGGACTTAAAAAGCCAAAAAAGCTAAAAGATGCTACAGCGCATGCACAAAAATGACCCCCCCCCCTTCCAAAAAACCCCCACACACAATAGCATATACACACTCTCTTCCGGACTACAGTTCCCAGCATCCCCTAGACCAGGCCCTTTAGGAGAAGAGGATGAGATGGGAGTAGCAGTCCAAGGAGAGAAAGAGGGAGGGAAGGTTTGCGACAGCAACGTATGGCGGGTACAGCTAGTTAGTATTATATATTGCTATATTGTCCTACACCACTATACTGTAATATGATTAGTAATATTATATGTAATATGAAATATAAAATTTTATTAGTAGTAGTATATTGTATTACATTTCTAATATTATCAATGTTATATGTGTATACAATATATTATATTATTTGCACAGCACAATTTTAATATTATATATTACTATATTGTACTATACCACTATACTGTAATATTATGTAAACATGGCTGTCATGTTCAAATTGAATCCTAACCGTCAGCCTCTTTTTCTCCAAACTCAACCCACCCGGTTCCCTCAGGGCTTGGCCTTCAAACCTTTGACCCATTGGGCCATCCTTATCTTGATTGTTGATAAGCAGACTGGTTTGTTGAAGGCTTTCATGGCCATAATCACTGGTTTGCAACTGTGGACAAGTCTACATAGGGACCACCAAACACAGCAAGGCCCAAACATGAATCAAGGAACATGAAAGGCACTGCAGACTAACTCAACCAGAGAAGTCAGCCATAGCAGAGCACTTCATGAACCAATCTGGACACAGCATATTATTTGAAAACACAGAAATGCTGGAGTGCTCTAACAACCACCATATCAGACTACATAGAGAAACCATTGAAAGTATGTTGACAATTTCAACAGAGAGGAGGAAAACATGAAAATGAACCAAATCTGGTTACCAGTATTATTATTTTTTTTTAAAAAAAAAGCTCTAAAATTAGGACACTAAATAAATAACAACACTCTAAACAGGGAAATTCCAGACATGAAACAATCAGGGACAGCTAACACTTCCCAACAAAAGATTTCCCCAGGCAGGAATCAGCGAGGCCTTGAAGCTGCAAGGCTTTGGAATCCTAATAAAGGTGATTAATTGCAACATTCACACTTGCCTCCAATAGAAAGACAAGTGTTCTTTCTCCCACCCTGGATATTCCACAGATATATAAACATCCCTTGCTTAGTTTCCAATATACCTCACAACCTCTGAGGATGCCTGCTATAGATATGAGCAAAACGTCAGGTGAGAATGCTTCTGGAACATGGCCATACAGCTCGGAGAGCTCACAGCAACCCAGACTCTGCTTTCCTCTCTTTTTCAATTTTTTTGTAGCTTTGCGCATTCCTCCTGCTTTAGAAAACAAGTTTTTCCCCATAGTAAGGATCGCAATAATGCAGGGAATCAAGTTGAGGCCCATTCTTTGCAAATCTGCCTGCTGAAGCTTAATCCCTCCCTTTGCTCACACCTGCAGGCACAGACTCATCCCTGTCCTCCAGTTCCAAGTCTTATAATTATAACCTCTTCTTTAGAAAAGATGTCCCCCTCCTTCTTCCAAACTCTTATCTTAATGCTTAACCAGATGTTTTATCTTTCTTGTGCTGATACAATAATGCATCCCAGTTAGTAGAAGGAATACGTCCAGCAGTGCATTGAGAAATCACTGTGTTTATGTAAACCTTGTTCACAAAAGTGGTGCCAGTTCAAAATGCTACTTGTACTAACCTGCAGCAGGACGATGTGATGACATTCCTCAGTAGCATCTTCGGGGGTGTTAAAATCTCTTTTAACAGACTGACAGAATTTCTTAATCCTAAAAGGCTTTGCTGTAAGACTGGTTTGTAAAACATTGTCCTACTAATTGCCTACATCTTTCTCTATAAGAGAGCCACATCCGGAAAGCCACGTGATTCCCACCCACAACCAAAGGCAACCCACTTCCTAAGCCAGTGGTTCTCAACCTGTGGGTCCCCAGATGTTTTGGCCTACAACTCAAAGAAATCCCAGCCATTTTACCAGCTGTTAGGAATTCTGGGAGTTGAAGGCCAAAACATCTGGGGGCACACAGGTTGAGAACCACTGTCCTAAGCGGCCCTTAGAATCATAGAGGCCATCCAGTCAAACCCCTTGCTTCCTTCATTTTAAGATTTTCTTAGCCCAGCAGTTGTCCCTACTTAACACTGGAGAGAACTCCCATGTTGTCTTCACTAAAGTGTACTTTTTCTGCATAGTTGTGTGGTGTTTTCAATGTGGGGTATTGTGTAGTTTTACCATACACACTGGTTTGAAATGGGTTCTATTCTTAGTATCACTTAATCTGATTAGGAGAACTTGCTCTGGGTAGCACCCTTTTCCTTTGCAGCTTATTCTGTCATAATTTAAATATCAAAATGTAGCACCATCTGACGCAAAACAAAGATATCAGGAAAAGAAAATTTATGGTGTTGTAAACCATTAACCCCTCTTTTGTAGGAGTTTATGTACTTGGAAAATATGGGCAGAAAAAAATGAAAGAAATTCAAGAAAGAGAAGCAGCAGAATATATAGCACAAGCACGAAGGCAGTATCATTTTGAAAGTAACCAGAGAACTTGCAACATTACAGGTAAGGTATTGCTATGGTTGGTTCAGTTTGAGCCAGGTTATGGATTTTAGAAACTATACTTCAAACAAACCAAATGTTTTGCTCCTGATCTGCTTGCATTTCATATTTTATTCGCATGTATTATAAGGTTTCTGGTACAGTTCAAGAGTATTAATTGAGCTGTTATTTCCATTATCTAATATGGGAGATGGGAATGATAGCTAGGCTTCAATGAACTGTATCAGGTTTGGTATTTTCAAAGAGTTTTTTTTTGGGGGGGGTGGGGGGGTTCTGTATAGTTGAGGTTTTTTTTCGTGTCAGAAGCGACTTGATAAACTGCAAGTCACTTCTGGTGTGAGAGAATTGGCCGTCTGCAAGGACGTTGCCCAGGGGACACCCAGATGATTGATGTTTTACCATAGTAATAGCTTATAACAAATATGTTTTGAAATGTTCAAATCATTAATCCCAAAACAATATTTTTAATGTATTTGTAATGGTATATTATTTTGCTGTATTTTTAAAAGCAGTCATAGCCATATCAAACTTCCTTTACTTTAATGGGCAAAGGCCTCTTTGCTTTTATAGCACAAGTCATACAGTTATTTTTGTGCTAACATCAGTTTTGAATAATGGTGATCAAAATTAGAAACAGTAATTTGAGACAATTCAATGTAAAATATTCTCCTTATGTCCTTGTCGAAGCTCATTTATGTATATATAAAAAAATCAAGTAGTCCTTCCAGATTTTCTGAAGTCTGTAGTGAACATGTTAGGCTTCTGTTACAATGGAAACTTTAATTTCTTACTTTCTGATTCTCTTACAATTTGTCATTATTACTATATGTGTTTACAACTTGATTATTTTTAATTTGGTGAGGAGGCGAAAAGTGTGATTCTTTTCTTGATCATTTTTTCCCTTTGATAGTACTATCTATGCTTCCAACATTAAGGGATGCTTTAATGTATCAGTTGAACTCTGAAAGTCTCACTTCTCTACTGAAAAACAAGTAAGCACAATCCTTGTTTTCCCCTCTAAATTTGATATGTTAAGTAGTGTGTATATATCATAGTCTGGGAGAACTGTTCTCTGCGACCCTATTTTGTAGACTGCTGAACATTTAGAACCCTTTAATCGTAACAGAGCAACTTAGATTTAAAGTGACATATCCTGATAAATATGGGAGAGAATAATCACACTTTTAAAAGTCTAGTATCTGTCCTAGCATGTACTCTCAGAGGAATATATGTTAACCTTGCACTATAGTGTATAACAAATCCCACAGTATCTCACGTAGTTTGAAAAATGCCTGCTGATATTTTACCAAGGCCATACAAGTTATCTTTTGTAAATTTCCTCAAAGCCATTTGCCAGTACAGGCAGTTCCAAAAGCTATGAATAAGATAGCTTCTGTAAGTTTGTTCTTAAGTTGAATTTATATGTAAGTCGAAACAGGTACATTTTTAAGTGTAATTTTTTAAAGTGTGATATCTTTTAGCTTAGGATAGCATAAGGAAGGGTGAGCACCTCTGTGATGTTTGTTTTGTTGTCTGTGCCCCTCT